AGGTCTCGCTGTATGGCGGCACAGCCTTCTGGCGTGTCAGCCACTCCTCCCAGTTTTGTGTCATCAGCAAACTTGCTGAGGGTACACTCTACGCCTTCATCCAGATCATCGATGAATATGTTGAACAAGACTGGGCCCAGTACTGACCCCTGAGGGACACCACTTGTTACTAACCTCCAACCAGACTCTGCACCACCAACCACAACCCTCTGAGCTCTATCTGTAAGCCACCTCACTGTCCATTCATCTCACCCACGCTTCCTAAGCTTTCCTGTGAGGATGATGTGGGAGACAGCGTCGAAAGCTTTGCCAAAGTCAAGGTAGACAACATCCACTGCCCTCCCCTCATCCACCCATCTAGTTACTTCGTCATAGAAGGCTATCAGATTAGTCCGACACGACTTCCCCTTGGTGAATCCACGTTGACTATATCCCGAGGATACTCCGAGGAACGTCCTTTCCCAGGCAGAAACGTTTAAAAACCACCACACTTTTATTTCAGGTAGTCCTCAGCGGAGGTGGGGTGCGGTACCCCTCGCTGGTGGAGCAGTCCTGTAGCTCGAGGACTGAGGTCTCCGCTTCCTGGCCGGGAATAGGGATCCAGGAGGGAGCGGGAACTGCGTGAAGCGGTTGGACCTTCTCGGGTATCTTCTGCCTGGGGACTTTCATAGAATGATGGAATGATGGTTGGAAGAAACCGTTAAAGGCCATCGAGTCCAACCCCCCCGCCATGGGCAGGGACGTCTTCAACCACATCAGGTTGCTCAGAGCCCCGTCCAACCTGACCTGGAGCGTTTCCAGGGATGGGGCATCCACCACTTCTCTGGGCAACCCGGGCCAGGGGCTCACCACCATCGGCGTAAAACATTCCACCCTTAGGTCTAGTCTAATTAAGTCTTTAATGGCACAGACTTGAGTTCGGCCCTGGTAAAATAAGGTTTATTTCCTTTCATTTTATCTCCCGAAAGCAAAACGGTTTTTGCCTGGGCTGGTTATTTTGAGGATCCTTCCGCATCCGGATCCTTCCGTCTCCAGGGAGAGTTGTCCGAGATACTTTTAGGAAAGGTTAAATCACTTTCTGCAAGCGCCTTTCCACCCTTGTTCATGGTAGCGGTGGCAACCACCAACATCCAAGGCGGCGAGAGCGCGGTGACTCCTCCGACGCGCTGATGCGGTGGGACAGCCCGGTTGGCCTTCTCCGGGTTGGGAACGCCGCGTCTCCTTCCAGGATGGCTTGGAGGAGTCACCACCACCTTTGCTCTACGCTCCCCGAGTCCCCTTATCTATGTCAAGGCTGCTCTTGCTGGGTTTTTTTCTTTTATCTTCAGTTTTTAGTTCTGCTTTGTTTCCCAGAGCGCCGGCATCTCGTGGCCTTGCGGTGCCGGAGCACGGGGGTGTCACCTCCCTCGACCAGCGCATCCCACGGAGGTTCTCGGCGTTCGGCTCATGCCGTAAGGCGATGCCGGGCGAGCCGGAGCTCCGCCGCCGACGTGGGCTGCGCGGGGAACCGGGGACTCACCTAATTCCCACACTGGGAACAGGCTCCTCTGGCTTCCCGCGCTCCCGGGGGAGGATTAATTAGCTTTGTTCTCCTGCCACGAGCGCTTTTAGTGGAGGTATTTAGTTTCTCGCGCTCTGTTTGGTAAAGCCGGAGGCTGCGGTGGGTCCCGGCTCCGAAAGCCGTCACCTCTCGGCTCTCCGGCACGCCGCCGGGTTGGTCGGGATGGTTCTGAGCGACGCGGGAGTCCGTCAGGTCCAATAAAACCCATCTGCTCCGTGGGAAAGGGGATGGGATGCGCCTGAGGGAGCTGAGCCGGCTGCTTCTTCCCCGCAGGGAGAACAACCCGACCCTGGTGGAGGTGTTGGAGGGGGTGGTTCGCCTCCCCGAGACGGTGCACACCGCCGTCCGCTACACCAGCATTGAGCTGGTGGGAGAGATGAGCGAAGTGGTGGACAGAAACCCCCAATTCCTGGGTGAGTCCGTCCATCCGTCCGTCCGTCCCCGGCTCCTCTCTGCCGCCCCGCGGCGAGATAACGCCGCGCGCCGTCCCACCCTACGGGGCCAACCCCCCGGTGCGTGACATTCCCCCTCTTCCTTTCTTCAACCCGGCTTTTCTCCTCCGCAGATCCCGTGCTGGGTTATTTGATGAAAGGTCTGTGCGACAGGCGGTTGGCGTCGGCGGCGGCCAAAGCCATCCACAATATCTGCTCGGTATGCCGGGACCACATGGCTCAGCACTTTAACGGGCTGCTGGAGATAGCCCGCTCCCTCGACTCCTTCACGCTCTCTCCGGAGGCTGCTGTGGGGCTCCTGAAAGGTGCGTACGGAAAAGCTCTCGGCGTTTTATTTATTATTTTTTTGTCGGGGGGGATGGGGATGTCGGATGCCGCGACCCCATTTTCACTTTTTTTTCTTAGAGGAGGGTGTCTCGCTCCTCTTGTCCTCTTGTCTCGCTCCGCGTTGTCCGCGTTTCACCTTCTCGAGAGCTCCTTTGGGGCAGGAGGTAGAAAGAAATCCTCCCGGCGTTTAATCAGCCATCTCCCCCCGCCCCCCTCCGGCCCCGCCGGCGCTGAACTTAAATATTTGCCACGCTGACAGCCAAGTCGGCCGCGGGTCACTGCCGTACCCGAGCGCGGGGAGGTCGGCTGCGCGGGGTGGGAAATGGCGAATATTTGTCGTTTTAGAGGCAGTTGGGGCGCAAGAATGTAGGTTTTTTTCGACTCCAGCCTGCCGTCGGGGGATTCGCTTCTCGCCCGGCATTGCTTTGGCTGCTGGGCATCCTCTGCCTCGTCGACCGCGGCGGGTTTCGGGCAGGTGCAGAAATTCCCGATGGATCCGAGAGCTTCCGAAACCTTTAAAAAAAATGGAGCTTGCGCGATGCTCGTTGCGGCTGTACCGAGACAAAACTCCTGGTTTTGTTTTGCACTCGCGTATCGATGGAAGCGGCG